AAGAAAAATGAACCATGGATAATGTGATGGTTAGGCTTTTTGTTTTTGGTTTTTATTGAAGTATGAGTTACAGGTATACAATACAGTGATATATAACTGTTAAAGGTTATATTTCACTTATAGATATTATAAAATATTGGCTATATTCCCTGTGTTATACAATATACCCTTGTACCTTATTTTATACATAGTAGTTTGTACATCTTAATCCCCTACCCCTATATTGCCCCTCTCTCTTTCTTCTCCCCGCTGATAAACACTAGTTTGTTCTCTTTATCTGTGAGTCTGTTGTGTGATGGTTAGTTCTACGTATCAATTTGGTGGGTGTTTTTGGTTGAGATTAGCATCTAAAATCACTGAATTTTGGCTAAAGCAAATTGCCCATAATGTAGGTGGGCCTCATCTAACAGTTGAAGGCCTGAATTGAACAAAAAGACTGGCCTCTCCAAGCAAGAGGAAATCCTCCTGCGACTGCCTTTGGACTTCATCTGCACCATCAACTCTCTTGACTCTCCAGCCTGCTGGCCCACACTGCAGATTTTGGGCTTACTAGCTTCCATAATTATGTGAGACGACTCCTTTACAAAATTTTTTTAAGTGAGAGTAAATTTATTCAGGGAGATACACATTCTATAGCCAGAGTACAGTCTGTCACACTCAGAAGGGAGAGCGGACAGGAGGTGCGGGGTTGTTAGTTTTTATGGGCCAGGTAATTTCACATGTTAAAGAGTGGGAGAATTATTCCAACTATGTTGGGGAAGGAGCGGAGATTTCCAGGAATTGGGCCCTTGCCCACTTTTTGGCCTTTTAAGGTCACCCTGGGAACTGTCATGGTGCCTGTGGGTGTGCCATGAGGCTCAAAGACTTTGGAAGTCAAATCTTCCACCCTCTTGGGCTCACTGGGTTCTAGCCAGTTTTTGTCGTGTCCTCAGTGGCTATGTCACTCTTTTGATGGTCGTGCTCAGTAGCCTTCCTTCCTGTCTCATTCCCCTCCCCTCTCAGAGATTTTATTTCCATAATTTTATGAGAAGAGGGTGGCGATCTGTCTTCTGTAGCTGCTTCAGGGCTGATTAGGGACATCGATCCAGCCTGTCAAGGAGTAAAACAAATCTCTGGATACTTAATCTAGGGGTCCCAGGGGCAAGACAGTTTCTTGTTTTGTGTCAGAGGATGGCAGTACAGGCTAGAATCCTCGCATAGCCATCACCTTGATGTGGAAGTGTTGTAACCGCTTCCATAGCCTTCCTATGAGTCTTCTTGAAGACGAAGCGCTTGCAACAGCATCAGAGTACAAGAATAACGGTTGAATCCTCCTGGCTGGCTGCGGCAAAGATGTTGCTGGGGAGCAGGTTCTTATCCTGCACAGGAAAGAATTCGATTGCAAGGCATAGTGAGATGAAAGTAAGTTTGTTCAGGGAGATACACACTCCATCGACAGAGTGAGTTTAATCTCACTCAGAAGGCAGAGCAGCTCCAATTCCTTTTAATAAATCTTTCTCTATACACACATCAGTTGGTTCTGTTTCTCTGGAGAACCTGACTAACACAGATAAGAACAGGCTTCACAGAGGTACATATGCGGAATAAACATACACAAACACGCTCAGCTTCCCTAGAGATCAAGGAAATGCAGATAAAACAACCATGAAATATCTTCTGTCGTTAGATTAGCAAAAAAATTTTAACTCGCATATCCATTGTTGGTAAGTATATGGGAAATAAGTTTCCCCAAACACTGTGACTGGGAATGGAAAATGGAAAAATGTTAAGGTAATTTGGCATTAACATTTCAAATGTGCATACCCTTTACCCAGCAGTGTAACTTTCATGAAAATAATCCCCATATGTGCATTCAGAAACATTTTCAAAAATATTCATTGAATTAATTATCTGTACCTGAAAAAATTGGAAACACATTAAAGTTCATTAAATGAGACTGGTTAAGTAAACTATGTAATAGTGGAATACTTGGTGACTGTCAAACAGAAACTGATAAATAAATGGAAAGATATCCCATGTTCAGGGATAGAAAGATTTAAAATTATTAAGATGAAAATACACCCTAAATTGACCTACAGATTCAGGGCATTCCCTATCAAAATCTCAGCTGTCTTCTGTGCAGAAACAGATCCTAAAATTCACATAGAAATTCAGGGGACCCAGAATAGCCAAAACAATCTTGAAAAAGAACGTAGAGGATTCTCATTACTCCTGATTTCAAAAGTTGCTATAGTCATCAAGACAGAGTGGTACTGGCCTTAAGGATGGACAGATAGATCAATGGAATAGACCTGAGAATCCAGAAATAAACCTTCACATTTAAAGTCAATTGATTCTATCAAAATTAAAAATCACAAAGCCTGACCCAAGGAGGCTGGGAGGACTCAGGGAATGGGGCAATGAGGGGTAGACCTTTTGATATCAAATCTCTTTGCGGCTCTGGAAATTTGCTTCTTTTCAGTCTTCCCTGTTCACAAAATGATACTTCCTCCTTAAAAGCAAAAAGCGGAGGGAGATTCCTGACTTGGGGGGTTTAAGGACTTGAGTGTTTCTTGAGGAATATATTTCACATTTCTTTACCACAGTAATCAGAGTAACCGCATATAATTCAAAATTTTTGAATGCTTAGGTTCATACCTTAACTAGTAATTACTGTCCTTTAAAAGCAATGCCCGTGAGGTATATTGAGTTGGGACTGTTTGCCCCTACACTCAACATCCCCAGGGTGTTGGGCTTCTAAGTTCTTCAGTCTGCTTTTCATAGTTTTTTGTACTGAATGCTTTTAATCCCTGCTAAACTTCTGAAAACTTCAACACACAAATCCCCTGTTCTATATAATCTACTGCTACTGAGACATCAGATGATTTTAATCAACATTAATTAATTAGTCATCATTTATTAAAAGTACATAAAATAAGAGAAAAGAGGTTCTGTGTGAGGAAAACTTTGAGTTTTTTCATGGAGAAAGTTTAGATCCTTCAGAGAGGGTTTCTCAGCCTCAGCACTACTGACATTTTGGGCAGAATCATCTTTGTCCTGTGCACTGTAGGATGTTCAGCAGCCTCCCTGGCCCCTGCCCACTGGATGCCAGTAACACCTCCCTGCAACTGTGACAACTCAGGATGTCTCCACACGCTGTCAAATGTCCCTGGCAAGCAAAGCACCACTTTATGGATTTTGCGATATTCGTTTCAGTCACTTTAGGTGTTTTTCTTCATGTATTTTGTTCTGGTTCTATATTGTTGGGATTATAGGTTAATTTATTGATATGTCTAACATTTTATGAAAATTGTGTGTGTGTGCTCGCTTGGTCAATAGAAGCATAAATATGCACAATGTCACCAGTGTGCAGAATAGTTCTGATTTTCAACAGAAGCCCTATCCACCTTCTGGACCCTCTCTAGCCCCAGCTGAGAACCACTGTCACACAATCCTTCAACCCTGCCACTTCTTCCCTACCCAGACTCCCACCACCCCTGAGCTTGGCTATTCGTCCCCAACCCCAGCCTCACCCTCAGCTCAAGCTCTTTGCGGAGACTGCTGTGCTCTCCATCCACTCTGCACAACCAAACACTGCCCTTCCTCCAAGGCCCAGCACCAGGCTTTCCATGGGCCTCTCCTCTCTCCTGGTGCATCTCCCATCACCCACCTCTGCCTGGGCCAGGCCCCTTGGCACTGAGTAGTCTGACTCCTAACGCCGGCGAAAATGTAGTACATTTTCTCCCCTCACTGGCATGTCAGTTCCCAGAGGGCAGGGCCGACTGGAACTAGGAAGCCACTTCCACAATGCACTCATCTCCAGCCCAGCCTTGTGCCACACACTCAGCAGCTCCTCACGTCCATTTCATTGAACCTGACACTAAATCCCTGCCCAAGGCTGCCCTCCCTATCTGATTTCTTAATGCTCTTCCCAACCCACTCCCCACCCACTCCCATGTCTAGCCACTTCTCCAACCTCTCTCCACCTACCAGTTAAAATCCTCCCAGTCTCAGCTCAAAAAGGTGCCCTCAAGATGGAGTTAAATCTCTTCTTCCCTGCTTCCCTGCCCAGAGCCAACCTACTACCTTTTCCCTTCACACATCTAGAGCACCTGGCACAGGACCTTGTACCTTAATTTAGACTTAATCTGAGTCTGTCTCTCCTTCTCCAACCCCCACCCCACCCAGTGCTGTGAGCACCTTGAGGAAAGAGCCTGAGGGCTGTTTATCCTTGCCCGCAAAACTCTCCTTCACCTCCCTTTGGGGCCTGGCCGCCCAGCATTAAATTTGAGTTGATTGAACAGAATAGAAACAGGAAGCCCAGACGTTCCGAATCCAGAAGCAGACATCCTGTGAATACTCTTAAACGCATTTGCGCCTTAATGTCCCCGGACAGGCGCTGCCCCATATCGGGATGGGGCAGCAGAAGGCAGCGAGGCGAGCACCCTCAGCCTGACTGATCGAGCCAGGGCGTCACATGATTCTCCAATCACATGATCCCTAGAAATGGGGGGTTGGGAAGAGAGGAAGGGAGGGAGGAGAGTGAATTGAGTAGGAAAGCAGCACAGATTACATGTTGGCCCCGCCTTTACATCGACGAGTAGCCAATGAGAGCGCGAAAGATCGGACACCTGGCCAATTGAAACTGAGGTGGGCGGGCCATCGAGCCAAGGGGCCCAAGCTCGTGAGCTACCGGGCAGCTGCTACCCAGCGAGCTCGAACTCCGACTCAGGTAAGGAGAGTGGCTGCGTAGGTCTCTCTCTTGCTCCTCCCCAGGGGCCCAGCCAGGGGGACGTGGGGGTTTGAGGCTCCTCTGGAGTTTCACTGGGGAAACAAGGAAAGACTCCTTTAGAGAAACTCCGATGCACTGGAAGGAGTTTTATAGGTGGTGGGAGTGAGCAGTAATTGCAGTGACTTCCATTAGAAGGGGCTCTCTCCCTCTCCAGCATCCCCGGAAGCTGCAGCCTCTTCCCCCAAAGCAGGGGCCACTTTGTTCTTGAGCCGACTCCGCTTCCGTAGGCAGGTGCTGGTGGTGCTGGTGGTGGTGGGTAGTCCCCGCCCCTGCTCCGAGCTCAGAGAGCTGGAAGTGGAGCTTGAGACCCTGGCCTCCTCAAAGACAGTAGAGACTTGGGAGAGGTGATTGAACCTCTGGGTTGTGTCTGACTCTCTTACTTCCTCTCGTGGGGGGTGGAACAAGCTAACTTCCGCCTCTCCCTGCCACTTTTCCCTGCTTTCTCACCGCTGGGTTGGCTCACTTTTTGGGAATCTCTGTCTCCTCTCACTCGGAGTTGGGGACTGCCACCTAGTGGAAGATGATGGAGCTCGGGGCTTGAGTAGACTCCTGTCCTCCCTCTCTGGTGGCAGTGTTGTGTGGAGGTGAGAGGCCATCACTTGGAACCTTACTAAGAGGAATTAAGTCCCCCATCCCTTGTCCTGAGTGTATGTGCGCGCATGTGCATGCATGTGTATTCAACAGAAGTATACACTCTACTCCCTAACCTCAGGATACCCAGGAAGGAAAATATACGTAAATAAATCACTAGGGTGCTGAGTAGTCTGATATGTGTGCAAACAGGCACTCCTTCTGGCCTGAGTCAGAGCAGTGGGACAAGCCTGCGGAGGGCCGCGGTTGGACTCCCAAGAAGCAGGCGGGGCCAGCTGGAGATGTCTTGCCAGGGAGCTATGAGCGTGGAGGAGAGGGTGAAAGGGGCCATGGGCTAGGACCAGTCTTCTTCAGCCTTACCTGGCCAGGAAGGGATGGTCTTTGAGCTAGGGAGGGAGCACTAAGAAAAGCCAGGTGAGGGAGACAGGATGTGAGTGACTGGAGGTCTGCAGTTCCCTGCCACACATAATGTGCAGTGTCTACACACAGACTCATAGGGAACTGAGGCCAAGAGACAGGGAGCAACTTTTGAGGCTCTCACAGTCAGTGTTGGCAATTCTAGGACTAGGACCCACCTTGGTGGGTGTATCCAGGCAGCCCCTGTACTCCGAGTTTCTGTCCTGCCTGGTACACCTGCCCAGGAAGCACTTCTGTCCCCCTTCTCAACTTGAACCCCAGGCCTCTACCTTTCTGGGGTTTGGGGTCCATTTCCAGGCACTGTCCATGTTGCCGCTTGTGAAATGAACCCAGGTCCAATATACTCTGGAACCATCAAAGCAAGCCATTTCCATGTCTTGATATATGACATGGACGGGTTACTTGACATCCCTCCGAGCCTCAGTTTCCCCCTTTGAAAAGTAAAGGTAATAATCACTACTTTGGATGGTTGTTGTAAAGAAGGAAGAAAATAATGTAGTGTTATAACTGGCTCCTAAGAGGCTCAACAGAGTTTACTGGTTTTGCCCCTCTAGTAGGGTAACATCTCCCCCACCCACCCCATTGAACAAACAGGGCTGGCTGAGCTTGGGGGAAGAATTGTTTAGGAAGTGAGAGGCTGCTCCCCTCCAGAGACTGAGGCTTGGTTCCTTCTGCTAACTCAGATCAACAGCTGGGTGGGCACGCAAGGTCTCTCTCCACATGCAGCTGGGTTTCAGCTCCAAGGTGGGGAGAGGCAGGGGGACAGGAGGGTGGTATGTTTGGGGATTCAGAAAGGGCCTGGTGGTACTGGGGAGCCCTTAGAACATAGGTGTCCCAAAGGTTGACCCAGCTTGCGTGTCCCCTTCCTTGGGTGGGGAGGGGACCATCAGTGGGCGGGTGGTGGCTGGCCTCTGAGGAAGGCAGCCCAGGCTCTACCAGCACAACACTTCCCTTTTCACAACTTTCTCAACCTCGTGGTTTCCCATGTCATCATGTGAGCTCCCCTCCCCTGCCAACAGGCCTTACTTAGCAGGGTGCAGGTGTGAGCACAGCTTCAGGCGAGGACGTGTCTTGAGGGGCTGGCTGGGGAAGTGGAACCTTGACTTTTCTTTAAGGGGGGACTCCCTCCTTGCCCCCCAGCCCTGTCCGCCCATGGCTTCTGATGCCTCTCCAACCCCTGGAGGTGGCCCACATCCCCCTAGGTCAGACCCACAGAACTCACACATCTTCCTGACTCTCACATGCCCACATCTCTGCACACTCAGCCACAGAGGCTCAGGTGTTAGACCACCATTTGGGGACACAGCTTCACAGTTATTCATGTCAGCATTCGTGCTCACGGGTGTACACAGCTGGTGCACATAGGACACCCATGCAGGACACAGGTTGGTAGCTGAATCTCAGGCCCCACATCTTTCTTCGTGCTGGGACAAGACGTTGTCAGGAGGCTCAGGTAGTCCTGGGCCTGGGTCTACAGCGGGGGTAGTGACTGGCCCCAGAATTGAGGGTGCCACAGGCTTAAGCTAGTTGCCAAATGCCTCTTGGTAATCTGCAGGTGGACCATGTGGACCCTGGTGAGCTGGGTGGCCTTTGTGACAGGGCTGGTGGCTGGAACACAGTGCCCAGATGGTCAGCTCTGCCCTGTGGCCTGTTGCCTGGACCCAGGAGGAGCCAGCTACAGCTGCTGCAATCCCGTCCCGGTGAGTGCCCTTCGCCTGGGCAAGAGCCGGCAGCCTGACATTTTCCCATGGGTCATCTCAGATTGGCCAGGGGAGGGGTCCAAGCTCGGGTCTTCCTGTTTATCCACTCCTCTCGCTTCCCAGGACACGTGGCCCACAGCACTGAGCAGGCGTCTGGGCACACCCTGTCAGATTGATTCCCACTGCCTTCCTGGCTACTCCTGCATCCTCACCGTCTCGGGGACCTCCAGCTGCTGCCCATTCCCAGAGGTGAGGGTGCCCTTAAATCAATGGAGAGGCTGAGATCTGCATTTCCACTTTTCCTGCACCCTTCCACCCCCCAGGGAAAAGGGCCTGGCCAACAAAGGTGTCTCTGTGTCCCACAGGCCGTGTCATGCGGAGATGGCCGCCATTGCTGCCCACAGGGCTTCCACTGCAGTGCTGACGGGCGGTCCTGCTTCCAGAGATCAGGTGCGGCAGAGGTGGAGGTGGAGGACAGGCAGCTCGCAGAGCCTGGCGCACCCAGGAGCCCAGCCAGCTGCGTGACCTTGATTCTTTGATTCCTCATGCCCTCATCATGTGGCATCTGTATTAAGACCCCCCTGGTCTGACCAGAGGGGCAGCACTGGGGCGAGGAGGGGATGGGAGAGAGTGTAAGACTCCAGGCCCAGAGCCAAGCATTGTGGGGCTGGGCAGAGGCCAGCTGAACTGGTTTAATACCACCCAGGCAATGGGTGCCCCTGTCCCGTGCCATATTGCTGAGGCAAGGACTGGCCTGGAAGAAAGTGGGTTAGGAGAGCCAGGGGGAGCCCTGAGCCCTAGTGCCAGACCCCGCAGTTCTCCTGTAGCTGGACCTGCAGGCCCTGGTGCCAGCAGCGCCTTGAGTGAGGGGGGAATGACCTTCACTGACGGGGCGGAATCCTGGGTCATCCCATCCACAGATTCCAACCTCTTGGGTGCCGTCCAGTGCCCCGACAGACGGTATGAATGCCCCAACTCGTCCACGTGCTGCACTATGCCTGATGGCTCCTGGGGATGCTGCCCCATGCCCCAGGTAAAGTTTAGGAAGATGGAGGGGAGAGAGGAGGGCAGTAGGGGCAGAGAAAGGGCTGGAGGGAGCAAAGACAGAGTCAGGGCCAATTCTTCTTAGGCTTCTTGCTGTGAAGACAAGGTGCACTGCTGCCCCCATGGTACCTCCTGTGACCTGGCTCACGCCCGCTGCCTCACCACCACGGGGACCCACCCCCTGGCAAAGAAGATTCCTGCACAAAAGTCTAAAAGGGCAGGTGAGGAGGTGGGAGAGAATCTGGTTGGGGGTTGGGAGTGAAGAGCAGCCTCATCTGGCTCCTGGCTGGGGAAAGTTCCTCTCTACCCTGGCTGCGCCTCATGCTTCTCTCCCCTCCCAGTGGTCTTGTGCCCTGATGCACAGTCCCAGTGCCCCGACGATTCTACCTGCTGCAAGCTTCCTAGTGGAAAGTATGGCTGCTGCCCGATGCCCAATGTGAGTGAGGGGCTGTAGCCAGTCGGGCTGTGTGCCCACCGCCACCTGACCTGGACACCTACCTACCTGGCAGGGACTCCAGCGGGTGGGGCTGGCGGGCTGGTTGCTGGGAGCATGGCTGCTCAGGACTCATGACACCCCCTAGCGGGGGATTGGGGTAGTGCCAGCTGTCAGCCTGGCTGCTCCCTGAGCTCCTGGGAGACTGGAAATCCCAGAGACCCAACCCTGCCCTTACCCAGGCCATCTGCTGCGCCGACCACCTGCACTGCTGCCCTCAAGGCACTGTGTGCGACCTGATCCAGAGTAAGTGCCTCTCCAAGGAGAATGCCACAGACCTCCTCACTAAGCTGCCTGCAGATACAGGTACTGGAGCAGGCCCCATTCCACCTGCACCATGAAGCATGAATAGATATGGGGGTGGGGACTGACAGCTGCCTGGAGAGGCCAGAGCAGGTACAGCCCTCTTTGGTCCACACTGGGCCTTGCCTTAGCATCACTGCCAGGGGTGGCCTGAACGGTACCCTCCATCCTCCACATCTGGTTCTAGCAGTGGAGCTGGCCAAGGGTGGGCACCCCTAAATATCCCTAGTGCCACTGCTGACCTGTACTCCTTGCCTCCCTCACAGTGCAGGAGGTGAAGTGTGACATGGAGGTGAGCTGCCCAGATGACTACACCTGCTGCCGCCTGCAGTCCGGGGCCTGGGGCTGCTGCCCTTTTGCCCAGGTACCTGGGAGTGATAAGTGGGCTGGGCCAAGCAGACGGTGGCAGCCAGCTAGGCACCCCCTGCCCACTGTCCCCTCTCCATCCACCCCAGGCCGTGTGCTGTGAGGACCACATCCACTGCTGTCCGGCTGGGTTTAGGTGTGACACAGAGAAGGGTACCTGCGAACAGGGGGCCCACCGGGTGCCCTGGATGGAGAAGTCCCCAGCCTACCTCAGCCTGCCAGACCCCCAAGCCATGGAAAGTGATGTCCCCTGTGATAACATCACCAGCTGTCCCTCCTCCAGTACCTGCTGTCGCTTCATGTCTGGGGAGTGGGGCTGCTGCCCTGTCCCAGAGGTACATGGGGAGGGGGACAGCAGTGGGGTAGGGGACAGTGTGTTGGCCTGGGCAGGTGGCCAGGCTCCTACTGCCTTGTTCTCTACCCTCTGCCCACGCACGGGTGGCACACCAGCTCTGGCAGAGTCGTTCCCAGTTAAAGGAGCTGTGAGCAGGTGTAGTAGGGGCTCAGTGTTCTGTCCCAGAGTAGCTTCCTAGACCCCCCTTTTCTGCCACCTCCCCAGGCTGTCTGCTGCTCGGACCACCAGCACTGCTGCCCCCAGGGCTACACATGTATGGCTGAGGGGCACTGCAAGAGGAAGAACAAGATTGTTACTGGGATGGCCAAGATGCCTGCCCACCAGGCTTTGATGTCCCACCCCAAAGACATGGGCTGTGACCAGCACACCAGCTGCCCAGTGGGGCAGACCTGCTGCCCAAGCCTGAGCGGGGGCTGGGCCTGCTGCCAGCTGCCCCACGTGAGTGCCCACCTACCTGCTCCCAGATGGGGGAGCTGGGTCCCAGGTTGGGTGGGTAGCGGGGGTGAGAATGTATTGTGCTCTTCCCCCCAGGCCGTGTGCTGTGAGGACCGCCAGCACTGCTGCCCTGCTGGCTACACCTGTAATGTGAAGGCCCGATCCTGTGAGAAGGAGGTGGACTCTGCCCACCCTGCTGCCCAGCTGACCCACAGCCCTCACGTGGGTGTGGGGAACGTAGAGTGTGGGGCGGGACACTTCTGCCATGATAACCAGACCTGCTGCCCAGACAGCCGAGGGGGCTGGGCCTGCTGTCCCTATCGCCAGGTCAGTGCCATCCCTGGCCCTGGGGCTGGGTCTGGGCATGGGCCAGGTCCTGCTGTGTCTAACTCTCGCTCTCCACTCTGACCATCCAGGGCACCTGTTGTTTGGACAAGCGTCACTGCTGTCCCGCTGGCTTCCGCTGTGGGGCCAAGGGCACCAAGTGTTTGCGCAGGAAAGCCCTGCGCTGGGACACTCCTCTGAGGGACGCGGCCCCCAGACAGCTGCTGTGAGGAGGGATTGAGGACTGAAGACACTCTGCAGCCCTCGGGACCCTGCTCAGAGGGTGCCCACTGCTCAGGCCTCCCCAGCACCTCCCCCTGCCAAATTCTCCCAGACCTTCCCTTCTGAGTCCCCTCATCACCATGGGAGATGGGACCTCAATCTAAGGCCCTCCCCATGGGAAGGGGGGCTGTGGCAAAAGCCACATTTCAAGCTGCCATCCCCTCCCCCAATTTCCATGGACCCTGTGGCCAGGTGCTCTTCCTTATCTACAGGTGTGCGTGTGTGTATGTAGTGCTGCAGTAAAGTTTGTACACTTTCTTAACATTGTCTGATTTGGCCACCCTGCCTGTCCTCCCCAGGAGACCCCTGGGCAACGGCCCCCATCCAGTGTCCACACTTCCCCCACCCCACAGAAAGACACAGAGAAGTTAATCTCACCAGTTTTATATTTGCTGTTGCCCACTGCCATCCCATCACATTATCCCCCAGTCCCCAGAGCCGCCCCAGCATCCAGCCCTGTGACATCGTAGCCCAGAGGTGGACTAGTCAGCAAGCAGCACCCCCTCCCCTCCCAGGGGTCCGCTAGAACGCCCCCTCCCTTCCCCAGCCCTCACACTAGCAGCTGAGGCCCGGTTGCCCCTCTTGCTTGCCCACGATAGAGCTTTCTATATACAGCCGCGTTTATACAGGCACTGCTTCCCCCCACCCAGCCCTCCTCCCCAGCACCTCCCAACAGGGGTCTGGACCCCTCCCACCTCCCTCTCGGAGGCAGACCCAGGGTCCCTCCCAAGACTTTACCCAGCACATACCACCAGACAGCTCCACAGACACCCGGGCACCTTTCCAGGCCAGGGCTGAGGGCTAAGAGCGAGGGCCCCTGCAGCTGCC